CTTCTTCAGTTAGCAGCATATAAGGCACACTTTAAACCTTGCAGCATTTAATAAAAAAAGTACCCTGCGATGAGGAATGCGGAGACGATGTCGGCGGCGTTTGATTGGGTTCCGGCTGCTTGACATCGGCGGTGTGGGGGTCGCCGCCTCGCCGGGTCGGGTCGGAGCCGGAGCCCGGAGGACGAGGGAATGGGTGCCAGGGCCGTGACTGAACCCGTGGCTGTCGAGTAACGGGCGACACTTCGTCAGCTATCGGGCGGCTACAGCCGAAGCGAGTATAAAGCGGATGGACGGCTAGGATCAACAGCTATCAGGTCGTGGGGCTGCTGGCGAACCAAACGTCGAACGTGTCGGATGCTCTGTGAGTGTGCGTGTGGCCGACGGAAAGAGTGAGACGACCGGCGACTCCGGGGTCGTCGTGGGTTTAATTGCGAGCACGAGTGGCGCACTGCCTTCCTCGGCCCGTACATCATTATTGATGATGGACGCGGTGGTGTCAGCTGGCCCAGTCTTGCTACTGCCCGGCCATGTCGTGCCCGCATCGTGTCATGGCCCGGCCAGCCGGCCACATGGCTTTTCGCTTCACTCATTGTGCTTGCGTTGTGGGGTTCAGAGAGTTCAACGGCCAGGCAAACGCGAGCTCGATCCGAAGCGGATTTTTGGAACACGGGTGCATTAGAGCACTTTATTTTAAATAGTTCAAAAACCACATTCTCTAAGTTTTAAAACAATTATACATGTTCATATGGTTATATGTTACACATGCTTAAAATTTGATGGTGAAGTGAGCAACACGTGAGCTACGCTAAAATGGTAAAATGGTGGTTTCTGAATAGCGAACGGTACATGCATTGTTCATCTATTCAAAATCGCAATTTGTCATTTTTGTGTGGTTCAAAGCATCCACAGCCGGACTTGCAAATCCGGCTCCTTAAACGCCCGCGGACGCGCCCGCTCGCATTGACCGGGCACCTCTCAAATGTTGCATCGCACATCTGCATACCGTAAATTTTGATCATCAAATCCATGCAATCCATGCACATCGATCATATGGTGCAAACTGTCTGAATGCCAAAGTTCAAAACAAAGCAAAGCAAATCATAGTTCAACAAACCAAACATGACAAAATGAGATCAATGTCCGAGCGTGACGGATGGCCTCGGATCTCTGGTTGGGTGCCTGCTCCGAGCGGAATGCGTCCTGCTCCAGGCGGAATGTGTCCTGCTCGTCTTGCTCTGCCTGCATCCGAGCTGCAGCTGCCCTCGCCGTCTCGTACTTCCTGCGGTCGTTGATCTCCATCTTCTTGTCCGTCAGCCACTTCTTCGCATGCTTATTCAAGAGGGTCTCGTCCGCCAACGTAATCCGTGTAGGCGCTCGGAGGGAAGGGGTGCGGGATCCGAGCGCAGCGGAGGAGACAGCTGCTCCACCATGTCTGAACCTCCATGCGCCGCCGCCGCCGCCTCCCTCTCTCGCTGCTGCAGTCACCACAACTCGCGGGCGACGTTCTCCGCCTTGCAAGCCGTAGCCAATGAATTAACGCCGCCGACAGACGAGGCGGATTGCATCTCCGTCGCGGTGGTGTGGGTCGGGCTGGACGACATCGTCAGTGATGGGCCGGGACCGGAGGTGAGGATTGGGAGCAAGAGCGAAGGACAACGAGGGTCCGGGCACGGGAATGGTTGGAGGGCGGCGGGAAGAGAAGGAAGGGTTTGGTGGATTTGGTGCAATTTGGGGTGTGGTCGGGCTGTCGAGTCCGACGTGGCGGGCGGCCCAAGCGCCCCATATCCGCCCCATATTTGGGTTGGATATGGGGGGGGTGCCGGTCAGACCGGGCGTTTGAAGCCCGTTTAAGAAGCCCGTCTTGGTCAAAATATCGTGACCGAACAGTGACCGCGTGGGCGTATGAGGCGGGTTTGAAAGGCCCGGTTGTAGATGCTCTCACATGGTTAATTATTCCATCACATAAATTCGCACATTGTAGTGTGCATCCATATGAGCATGTAGAATTTGTTTTCAAAAATAATTATACTTCAAAATACCATGCTCCATGCAGTATTTCAAATATTGTGCTCACTGGAGCAGTGCACCAAAGTAGTTTTTTCAACTCATGGGATGCGAATGAACTATATGGCACTGAATTTGCTCATAAGTGAAACCTCTGCGGCTAGTGGGGCGCACTGTCCAGCGGTGAACGCTTGAGGTTCTACCGGAGCAGTAAGGCCCCCGAACGGCTACATATTAGAAGATGAAAAAAACATACTTTCACCCAAATTAAAATAAAAAGGAAAGAGGACTATTTGCTCACGAGCATAAATGTCCCTTGATGAACAGTAAAATCTAAAAAAACAGTTCAAACATCGATAAATGTTTTGAGTACTTGCAAAATTTCAATTTCATCATGGCCTGACATTAGTGAAAGTCGTGGCAAAAAAAATGATGTTTAAAAAAGTAGATGATTTTTTTCCAGGACTTCTAGCAATGAAACTTTACAAACACTCAAGCTTGCCACAAAAAAATCAGAATATTTTTATATATTTTTTAAGGAAAATAATTCAAAGTTTATTGTTCATCAGAGAGCATTTAAGCCTGTCAGCAGAAGATAGACTTTGCACTAAAAAGGCGTTGTAGAGAAAGAACCCATTTTCCCCGGGAAGACGAACCTTCTTCGCAAGCTGCTTCGTGGGCCCTGTGAAACTTTTTTGACATAGCGTGCCTCGTGGACATGTTTTGTTAGGATTGTTACATCATCATATCGGAGCTGAGATCAGCCTACAAATCCTATGACAGCAAATGCAACAACGCGGCCAGCCTGGCGGACCGCTGTCACCGCGGCAACCTGCTTTCATCACCGGTAACAATTGCATTACTAAGAATAAATTAACCTTTAACCATGCAAACTGCCTGCTTCGTCCTTAATTTCGCCTTTCCATTTTAGAATGTGCGCATGTCTTGGTGCAGCTTTAGGCGCCCAAAAATTGCTCCGCGCGCTAAAATTCGTGCATTTTGGACGCCGGACAGCTCTAGCAAAATCTGCAAAATAGTGCGCGCTGACAAACGCTATCGCATGATGTAAATTTGAGGCGCCGCCTTGTGTGCGCTTCACAATTGCACTGCGTGTTTTTTTATGTGTGTTTTTGGTCATCTGGTAAACTAATGTTGGGTCCGGCGCGCTAAAAGTGCTACAGTGACGGGCTAAAATTAATTTAGGGCGCGAAACTTTTGTGCGCCCGTTGGAGACGCTCTTAGTGTTAGAGCATCTCCAACAGGCGCGGCAAAAGGCGCGCCCGCACGGTAAAGTTAGGTTTTAGCGCGCGCCGGCTGATTTCGCGCGCTCCAGCGGTGGCGGGAACTTACCACGCGCAGGAAGCGTTTGCGCGCGGGGGGAGAAAGCGGCATGCGGCGCGGTAGATTTGGCGCGCCGCTTACCGCGCGCCTATAAATTGCCGCGCTCGCCACGCGCATAGCACACAGCCACGCGCCCTCCCCTCGCAACCTCGCCGCCTCGCCGCTTCGCAGCTTTCCCCGCCACCACCGTGCCACCATGCCGCCGCGCCGCCGGGGTGCTTCGGGCTATCGCACCGTCCGCGAGCGCCCCAACGGTTGGTACTCCGCCGAGATATGGTCCGGCGACGTCCGGCCCGGCCTCGGGACGTTCCGGAGCGCGCATGAGGCGGCCCGCGCGTACGACGCGGCGGCGTGGCGCTTGGACAGGCCTCGGTCGCAGATGAACTTTCGGGACGTCTTCACGCGCGAGCAGGCGCAGCGCGTCGCCCCTCCGCCGCGTCTCATCACCGACATGGACCGTGCCGACTACGCTCGGCGGCAGCGCCGCCTCCTCGTCGCCGAGGAGGACGAGCGAGCCATGGCGGAGTGACGCCGCCGCCACCCGGAGGACGTCGCCGACGAGCATGCCTACTGGGCGGAGAGGACGGCAAGGCGCCGCGCGGAGCGGGCTGACCGGCGTCAGCGGAAGGCATTGGCGAACGAGCAGTGCGACATAGTTTCAGCAGGTGGGAGGTCGTTCTTCACCGCGGACGACGAACGTTGGGACGACATATGGATCTCAATCTCGGACGACACCGACGAGGATGATGGTGATGGTAGCGACTTGGAGTAGTTTCTATCGCTGTATGCCATAGTAGCTTCTATCTATCTATCTATGCCATAGTAGTATCTATCTATCTATGTATGTCGAACTATCTATCTATGTATGTCGAACTATCTATCTATCTATGTAAAATATCTTGTATCATTTTTTTTATCTATGCAAAAAGAATGTTTATAGAATGAGCGCGTGCGCTGCATTTTTACCGCGCCTGCTGGAACTGCACGCGCGCGGCTTTACAGCGCGGCTCCTGGAGCAAACGCTACGCGCCGCGCCAAACCAGACGATGGGCGCGTGCCAAATTAGTTTTTAGCGCGCGGCGCGTTCGGCGCCTGTTGGAGATGCTCTTAAGACTTGGAATGGGTTTTGCGCTGGTAGACTTGAGCAGCAGTCTTCAGCCATTTTGGGCGCAAGTAATTGAACATTAGAGCACCTCTGATACAGCGGGGTTAAGCTCACCTAGCTTTCTGTGCGGTGGTGGCGTACGTGTCGGTGCCTCTCTATTGTGCTCGGTGTTTCGCTAAAAGAAAAACTTTAGCATTGACGTTGCATTTGTAGTCAATAAGACTTTTGTACGGGAGGTCGTCTCAACACGCAAGAGGAAAGGAAATGGGGGTAATATCTCTGGCGTATGTTGTTTACCTACATCTGGAGCAATCATCAAATCCATCACCGCTTGCATAAGTCGTGAACACGCCGAACACGCCACAAATTTTTACATAGAATCAACATAATTCGGCACATCAAGCAAACTAGTAGTAGACAATGCGCACGCTACTAGAAAAACAGTCAATCGAACGATCTCCAAACCAGAATAACACAAGGAGAAATGGCACAGGGGATGGGAGGAGCATGACGCATGAAAATCACCGGAGATTTCGCGGCCGTGGCCTGCCTATCTCATCATGCCGACGGGCGTGGCCGGCGCCCCCATGACCTGCCCTCCGGTGACGCCCCGGTTCCGGCGCTCCATGTTGGCGTCCCAGCCGATCCCCATGTCGAAGCCGCGGTTCTTGAGCTCCCGGTACTCCTGGCAGAGCGCGCAGAGCTCGCAGCACCAATGCACGAGGAAGTCCGGGCACTCCCCCTCGTCCAGGTCGTAGTGCGCCCGCATCTTGGTGCGGTAGACGCACGAGTAGAGGCACCCCATCCCCGTCGTCGCGCAGATGGCCGCGTAGGCCGCCCCGCTCCCGGCGCACGCTGCATCAGCAAGCCAATCTCTCATACGTCAAACATAGCCGGTGGATCTACCGAGCTAGAAGAAGAAGAAGAAGCTGAATAAATGGGGGGAGGGGAGGGAGAAAGAACTCACAGCAGGTTCCTCTGTCCACGATGTCCGCGATCTGCCCGAACGTGATGCAGGGGCACAGGCACGTGATGAGACCTTCACGAAAGACATGGATAAGCTCAACTGAGCGGCCATGGGCGACCATTGCTAGCTATCTAGTAGCTCTCGGCTCTGAGCAAGAGGGGAACCGACCGATTACTTGAAGAAAGAAAGACAGAGACCGCTTACAGTTTCCCGGGTCGTCCATGCAGTGGAAGAGGCCGGTGGACCAGCGCGCCAGCCCGGCGGCGGGGCGGGCGTGGTGGCTCTGGTTCATGGCGTGGTTGTACGTGGGCTGCTGCTGCGGCGGCGGCGCCGTGGGCGGAGGGCCGTTGCTGAACCTGTCGTACGCGTCGGAGGGGGTGGTGGGATACATTGCTTGGGAATACGGCCGTGCCCTGTTTATGCCTGTGCTAAAGCCAAAGAAAGGACCAGGTTCCTCTTTAAAAAGGAATCACTAACGAGCCTCTCGCAACTCGCAAGTCTTTTCCTCATTGTTTTTGTAACAATCAGTTGGCATCTCTTATTCAAAAACATGTTTAAAAAATCAGTTGGTATGTGACCAGTATTCCAGTGTTGACGGTGATGCGATGCGAAATAGTGCAGCACTGTGAGTAAATATCTTGGATGCTTCGTGCTACGCTTGGAGCAAGCAGAAGACGCTACTGCTGCGTGCACTGTGCATTTTGTCCATGCTCTTGTGTCTTGAATGATTGCAAAAAAGATGTGGATGTACTATTTCCTAAGTTTCATTGAACTAACTTAACAAGTAATACTCCCTAATTTCCGGGGAAGAACACAACTAGTGCTTGCTGAGCATCATTATCATATATGCACAGTGTAAAGATCATACTACTACCGAAGTCTTGGTCTTGCTAGCCAACTCGCAGATAAAGAAAATGGAGAAAAGTGAGTCTTGGTCTTGCTTTCAATATACTTTTGCAGTTTCCTATCCATACTGTCAACTTGTCGACGAACCATGCAACAAAAGTTGCTGTTCAAGGGGGCTAACTGCCGTTAAACATAATAAAAGTGGTTAGGTTTCAAACTATTGAAGTCTAACCAGACGAGGTGACAGCAAAGTTTTGGAATATGCAAGGTGGATATAGTAGTTTTTGCCATTGGTTTGCGCTACTTGTCTCGAAGACAGCTCCCTTGATCGGCCACATGCGAAACCTAGGGAGCTTAAATAATCATCAATATTATACTCTCTCTTAATTTACAGGGCGTGTGCGTATCCTAGATCATCAATTTGACCAACCTAATACAAGTTATATATTACAAAAAATATATTAATATAAATTTCAGATGTTCTATTTTTAAAAGGTATATTTTTTGTGTTATATAGTTTATATAGGATGATAAAATTGGCAATCTAGGTATACGCGTAGGACTTGTAAACTGAAACGGAGGGAGTACGTACTTTCTCTAATCTTGTTTAGTCTAACAACAGCTAGTGCGATGTCAAAAGGAGAAACAACATCTAGCTGTATTTCATTCTATTTTATATATCCAACAGCAGCGGAAGATGGATTAGTTGTCCAAAAAAAATAACAACAGAAATACTAAAAATCTGACGTTGGGTATTTTATACTCCCTCGGTCCCAAAATAAGTGTCTCAAAGTCTTTCATCCTCCCCAAGAGAAGTCTCCTTCCTCCCCCTGTCGGCGCCACCGAGGATCCGCCCCGCCTCCGATGGCCTTTGGCCTATGGAGGTGCCGAGAATCTCGGCCCCCGCTGGTGGGAGGGACCTCGTTTCTCGTTTTTGCTAGGTTAGGTTTGTGTGGCGCCGGTGATGTCCCTCGGTAGCAATAATGTCTCCCACGTCCTATCCGCATCCTGATAATGTGAATAGCGTTGTTGGAGGATGTGTGGAGGTGTGTCTCCGTCGGATCTCATGGGATTCGGTCGGTGCTGGTCTTCGATGGATGTATTTGGATCCAGTTTTTATTCGACTTCATTCGTGTGGTTCTAGGTTTGATCTTTCCGATCTACAATTCTCTTCATCGGCGATGGTTGCTACTCTGGTGTGCTGGTCCTTTGGGGCCTTAGCACGACGACTTCCCGACTGTCTACTACAACAAGGTTTGTCCGGCTCCGGTGATGGAGGGGAGATGACGGCGGCGCGCCTTCGGCTCGCTCTAGTGCTTGTAGCCGTCGCTAGGTGGTCCATAGACCTGGTAGTAATTTTTATTACCTCTTGTGTTCTCTGTACTGCTATTGATGAATAGATTGGAAATTTCTCTCGAAAAAGAAAGTTAAGACACTTATTTTGGGACGGAGGGAGTACATGACAAAGCGAACTTTTTTCATGCAATTTATATAGACGTGAGAATGGCAAATTTAGTTTTGCAAGCATGGTAGTTTTCGGGCAAAAAATTAAACTGAGGCGTATTCGTCATGCGCGCCAACTAAACTTGACATCATCGGCGAACATAACTTAGCATGAAAATGTTTTTTCTGGCTATATTGGGACTAAATGGCATTGCACTGCTCGCACAATAGGCCCCAATACCTATGTCATGCGTTTCCCTAATCAAAGAGATGTTAAAAAAGCATGCTACAATGATAAGATGACCTTGAGATCATGTGGAGTGGTGGTGAAAATAGTCCCATGGTCTGCTAATGTTGGGGCAAAAGGTGTGACGAAAATTGCTTGGGTTAAAGTAGCAAATGTCCCCTTGGAAAGGAGAAAAGAAAGAAATCTCGCATATGTGGCTTCTTTGGTAGGTGTTCCACTTGAAATCGACATGGCCACCCTACATAAGCCTGAATTTGTACGGGTCCGGCTGGGATGTCGTAATGTGGATGAGATACACGGAGTTGCAGAAGCAGTTTTGGGCACACATTTTTTTTATTTCTTCTTTGAAATCGATAAGGTGTTGGTTAGAGATCCAGAGAGAGAAGAGAGCAAGAGTGCTCAGGTTGATACTACTAAGAAAAACTCATCTGTTGACAAGCAAAATGTTCAGACATATCTTAAATCCAATGAAAAAGAGAAAGGGGCTGGGTCCAGTAGATATATGGAAATGGAAAAAAATGCTCCTGTTGATTCTTTAGAAGATGGGCAAGAGGAATAAGAAGAAACTGAGGATAATACTTTACTGATTGATACCATTGCTGATGAGGCATGTAAAAAAGAGGACCTGTTTAAATCCATCACAATTTCTGCTACAACTGAGCAGTATGTTGATCAGATCCAGGTAGAAAAAAAGTCTTCTAACACTGATAATATTTCTAATGACATATATGCTTTGCATATATCTCATTTGGAAGAGACAAATAATGAGCAGGTGGAAGAGCTTGAGGGAGATGAGCATGAAAAGGAGGGGGCGAAAACTGAGTATGTGGTACAGTTCCCCACCTCTTCTGATAATATGGGGGAAGTGATTCCTACCCCTCCTCTTATTCCTGAAGCTGGACTGAGGCTCAGTGTGAGGAACATGCAGAATATGGAAGGCAAAATATAGGACAAGGCTGCAACTATATCCAAGTAAAGAAACCTGGAAGGTAATGAGCCGACCCATAATTCTTTTGAAGTGCTCTCTAATCATGAACTGATGCTTAGAGCAACAAAAATGGGGGTGTTAATCCCTGATGGTAACTTTTCTAGCATTGATATTTTGAGGGAGCTAGAAAAAGTTAGGAATAAAGGGGGAAATAATGACACCATACTTGAGAAGAGTATTGGAGGGAAAGTGATGTATATTACTAATGGCAAAGGGGGTACAACTCCCATCAGTGCTGATTGGGCTGATGAGGAGGGGGAGTTAGATGAGGAATTTACTGTAGTCAGGTCTAGGAAGAAAAGAAGTACAAAGGTCCATGTGGCCATTTCTAGACCTGTGACCAGAAGCCAAAACCTTGAAAGAGGTGAAAAAAGGAAAACTGGCAGCCCTGTTCATTATTCCAGGGCCACCGGAGGGGGGGGAAGAAAAATGGTATTAAATGATAGGTCTATTCTGGAATTGTAGGGGGGCAGGAAAGAAAGGAATGAGTTCCCGTCTCTCTCATATTATTAAAGATCATTCCCTTGATTTCGTTGGTTTACAAGAGACCCATAAGAACAGTTTCATGGACAGTTTCTTTAGGAAAATTGATCCATACAAGGCATATGAATGGAATTTTGTCCCATCTGTAGGCAGATCTGGGGGAATCCTTTGTGGTGTGAAGAAAGAAAGATTTGAGAAAGTTCGATGGAAGAAAGGCAAATTTATTCTGCAAGTTTCCTTTTATGATAGCAAAATAAAAAAGAATTGGACGTTATGCACTGTTTATGGTGTTGCCCATGATAAGGATAAAGAAGATTTTCCGATTGAACTCTCTGACTTCTGCAGTCATGTATCCACCCCACTTTTGATAGGAGGGGATTTTAACATACTTAGACATGCATGAGAAAAAACAAAAAGTGGCAACACTCTCCACATTCTGATCTGTTCAATTCAGTGATTAATGCTATGTGTTTGAGTGAGATTCATATGAGTGGAGGCATGTATACTTGGACCAATAATCAATATCACCCAACACTTGAGAAACTAGATCGTGTCCTTATGAGTAGTGACTGGGAAGATATTTTTCCTCAAGTGAACATTAGAAAGTTGGTTAGATATGTCTCAGACCATAATGCTCTCCTGCTGTCCTCTAACAATCATGTTGTCAGAATTCCACAGACAAGAGAGTTTAGGTTCGAGCTTAGCTGGCTTAAGACAGAGGAATTTCTCCCTTTGGTTGAGAAAATCTGGAACCAATATGTAAAAGCCACTGACCCTATTGATATTCTAAATATCAAGTTGAAGCGGTTTAAAAAATTCTTTAAAGGGTGGGGCTCAAATAAGTTTGGCTATGAGAGGATCAGGAAGATGAGCATTAGAGAGGAGTTGAGATGTATTGAGGAGGAGGAAGAGAAGGGGGAGGTAGACCCCGATGTTTTCTGCAGGAAAACAGAACTTCTAGTGGAGTTAAATGAAATCCTAGTTAATGAGGAACTGTTTTTGCTACAACAATCTAAAGAACGATGGTTGCTTAAAGGAGATAGTAACACTGCCTATTATCAAAAGATTGCGAATGGTAACAAGAGGAAAAACACCATACATTCACTGAATGTTGGTGATGATGTGGTCGAAGGAACTGATAATCTTTTAAAGCATGCTACTGACTTTTACAAATCCCTTTTGGACCAGCCCCTGGAAACATGTTTCAATTCGATCCTAAGGTATGGGGGGATAATGAGAGATTAGATGCGACTGATAATTTGATTTTGACCAGACCTTTCTCTGAGGAGGAGGTCAATACATCCCTATTTTCAATGAATAGTAATAGAGCCCCTCGACCTGATAACATACCTGCTGAATTTTATCAGCACTATTGGGAGATAGT